CCCACCGTGTCCCCGCCGGCCCAGGTGCTGCTGCGGGAACACAAGCTGCGCTCCTACACACTCAACGCCGTGAGCTTCCACTTCCTGGGGGAGCAGAAGGAGGACGTGCAGCACAGCATCATCACCGACCTGCAGGTGCCCGGCCGCGACCCTGACCCTGACCTTACCCTCAGCTGCGGCCCCCGGCCTCTGGCCTCCTCCTTCCGTCCATGTCCCTGAGCTCTGACTTTGACTCTCGACCCACTTCTGTGACCTGGTCTCCATCCTATGACATGGTCCCCGTCCCATGACCTGGTCCTTGTCCCATGACCTGGCCCTCTCCCGTGACCTGGCCCCCGTCTTGTGACCCGGCCTATGACCTGACCCCCTCCCGTGACCTGGCCCCCATCCCGTGACCTGGCCCCCATCCTGTGACCCGGCCTATGACCTGGCCCTCAGCCCGTGACCCGGTCCCCGCTGGCCCTCCACCCTGACCCCGGCCCGTGGCCTCTGCCCCAGAACGGGAACGAGCAGACGCGCCGCCGCCTGGCCGTGTACTGCCTCAAGGACGCCTTCCTGCCGCTGCGGCTGCTCGAGCGGCTCATGGTCTTGGTCAACGCCGTGGAGATGGCGCGTGTCACCGGCGTGCCCCTCAGCTACCTGCTCAGCCGAGGCCAGCAGGTCAAGGTTGTGTCCCAGCTGCTCCGGCAGGTCAGTGGGCCCCGCGCCCCCTCTGCTGGGCTCCCGCACAGCCCTGCCCTCTCCTTCCCTCCTCCCATCTGTCCCCCTCCACTGTCCAGGCCATGCGCCAGGGGCTGGTGATGCCCGTGGTGAAGACGGAGGGCGGTGAAGACTACACGGGGGCCACAGTCATCGAGCCGCTCAAAGGGTGAGGCCTGGGGCCCTGGGGCCGGGGGGGCCTGGGGGAGGCCCCAGGCTGACTCCCCTCCCTGGCCCCAGGTACTACGACGTGCCCATCGCCACCCTGGACTTCTCCTCGCTGTACCCGTCCATCATGATGGCCCACAACCTCTGCTACACCACTCTGCTGCGGCCTGGCGCTGCCCAGAAGCTGGGGTACAGACACCCCACCCCACACGACTCCTGAGGCCTCCGGGGGCCCTGCCCTGGGAGCTCCCGTCTGGTGGGCACAGATGGTCGGGGGGAGAGGCAGGAGAGGAGGGAGTCTGAGGGCCTGAGCCGGCTCCCCGAGACCAGGGCACAGGGGGCTTGGGGAGGGGGAGAGGCAGTCACGTCCCCTGTCTCTGACCCAGCCTGACCTCGGAGCAGTTCATCAAGACGCCCACGGGGGACGAGTTTGTGAAGACCTCTGTGCGCAAGGGGCTGCTACCGCAGATCCTGGAGAACCTGCTCAGCGCCCGGAAGAGGTGGGCTTCTGTGACCGGCCCCTAAGCTTGCTCAGGCTTCTCTGCGGTCCCCAGACCCCTCTGGCCGACTCCAGGGCCACCTGGCCGCACTCACCTGTGTCTGTGTGTGACTTAGAGAGGGGCACTTCCTCCCAGGTGGTCCAGTCCGTGGGCGTTACCCAGAGCACCCATTTCCCCCTGGCTGGTGCCCAGGCCTGTTTCCTCCGGGTCCCACCTGAGCAGTGACTTCTGTCCCCACCCCTCCTTCACAGGGCCAAGGCCGAGCTCGCCAAGGAGACGGACCCCCTGCGCCGGCAGGTTTTGGACGGGCGGCAGCTGGCGCTGAAGGTGAGCGCCAATTCCGTGTATGGTTTCACCGGCGCTCAGGTGGGCAAGCTGCCGTGCCTGGAGATCTCACAGGTGAGCCCTGGGGCCTGGCGTGGGCGTCCGTGTCCTCTCCGTGAGCGTCCGTGTCCTCTCCGTGAGCGTCCGTGTCCTCTCCGTGAGCGTCCGTGTCCTCTCCGTGGCGTTGTACAGTCAGCCCCGGTGACGGTGTGAGCCCTTGGGCACCGCCAGCTGGGACTGTGCCGTCCAGGGCTCCCTCACAGGAACCGCCTCCTCTAGACCCTGTGTCTGTCACTCTGCTGCCTGTCACTCTGCTGCCTGTCACTCTGCTGCCTGTCACTCTGCAACCTGTCTCTGCCGTCTCTTTCTCGTGGCCACTTTCCTTATTTCTGTCTTAAGCCTGTGGCGATGAAGTAATTTATCTTAAATACCAAATTACTCCAGAAGAGGATAAGACAGGATGAGGAAAGCAGACGTACAACAGGCAGGAGAGACAGAGCAATCAGTTGTCACGCTAAATACAAACGGACTAAATACTGCAGTTAAAAGAAGGGTTTTCTGACTGGCTCCAAACCAAAAGAAAATGCAAAAGAATTCGTCCGTCTCTCCAACGGGTCCCCGCCCCCCCAGCCCCAGGTGCCTCAGTTGGAAAGGACTGCGTTTCCGGTGACATGACCAATGCCCTGGGGACAGCTGACAGTGCGTGGGGCATTGCTGGTCGCCCAGGGACGGGAGTGTGCGATGCTGCTGCCATTCAGGGAGCGGCCAGGCCTGGCAAGGGTCCTGTACCGAGGAGGGCTGTGCCCCATGACGTCACTGCACGTCCGGAGAGACGCCCCGGGCCGAGGAGAGTTTATCCCATGACATCACTGCACGTCCGGAGAGACGCCCTGGGCCGAGGAGAGCCATCCCCATGACATAGCCGTACATCTGGAGAGACTCACTGGGCCGAGGAGAGCCGTCCCCATGACGTCACTGCGCGTCCGGAGAGACGCCCCAGGCCGAGGAGAGCCATC